ATTTACCTCTTTAGACATCTTCTTAAGTTCAGAAACTAGTGCTTTGGCTGTTTTCTCGATGCCACGGGTAATCTGAACTGGGTTGGCACCGGCTGCAACCACCTGCATGAGTTACAGGTAAGTACCAAGAGACTCGATCACCCTCCCATCATGACAAAATTGTATTAGGATGATGTACCTTAACACCTTCTGCAATCATCCCTTGAGCAAGAACAACAGAAGTAGTTGTCCCATCCCCAGCCAAGTCATTGGTCTTCGCAGCCGCTTGTCTTACTAGCTTGGCACCAATGTTCTCAACAGGATCCTCTAGCTCAACCTGTGAATCAGTTAGAGTTGGCCAAGAATCCAATTATACCTCACATAATAGAGTTTTATTCTTCCTGACTTCGAGGTTCAAAGCACCAAACATCAATTTGTTTCAGAATTGAAGAAAAGGGATGGAAAAGGCATGCTGTGACTTCCCAGTTATAGTTACTACTTACTAGACTGTTGAGGAGGAGCACGATAGCAGTCACTGACAAATGTCACTCGATATAACAAAGGAGATACTACCAGCAACAATTGCAAACAAAGAAAAACAAAGGCAACAAGCAGAATGTGTGAAAAATGCAAGAGGAAATCCTTAGGTTATTGATTATTTTCTTAACATGCTACAACATTAATTCTCCTAACTAAATATCTCAGATGTGCAGTTTCCCAGATCCAAGCATCCCTTTTGAACATGCTTGAAACAGGAAGAAAAGTCATCGTGGAGAATGCATTTGGGTAAAGGTCCCTATGAGGAACTGACTCTTCCATGCAAGAATTTTCTCCCAGAAAAGGTATCTACGCTTGTCATCAGGCTATGTTTGGCTCCAGAAAAGAAATACAAGAGAGACAAAAATCAAGGTGCAATATCTCTAGATATATGGTAGTCTGAATATATACTCCACCTTAAACAACTCCTGTATGTTAGAATAGTTGTAAACAACCTATCAACAAGGTCCAGGCATCTATTAATTCCATGGAAATGACACCGCAATCAGTATATATACCAAGATGAAGGACACAATTAGCTACAAGTTCAAGAGTAGGCCATCCAATATTTTTATGCACAGCAAAATCAAAAGATGGACCATATCATTATACCTTGGACATGAAATAAAAGAAACACCCACCTCTTTTGCTACTGTAACCCCATCATTTACGATCTTAGGTGATCCATACTTGCTTTCCAAGACAACATTCCTGCCCTTGGGACCAAGTGTAACCCCAACAAGATCAGCAAGCTTGTTGACACCAGTCTGATATTGCATCACAAGAAAAACATGAAGGGATTAGAAACAACAAAAAGAAATATTTTATTGTTAAAGGAAAGATTTTATTGGAAGAATTATATCATATACAGAACACACTTGTAGCTTTTTGATAGCTGATCCATCTTTGTTGAAGTATAATTCCTTAGCCATTGCATTAATCTTGCAGTTGCCTCTTCTTAGTGAACCCAAGCTCTGTCTCCTGCTGCTAATCGAACTGGATGATATAGAAGCAAACGAAGAAAACTGGGATAACTTTTGTTTGGAAGCTAAGAGCTTCTTATCTGTTCTGAAGTTGCTAGGAGAAGCAATAGCACCAAGAGTAGACAACGTGTAGGAAGCTGAGGCCATTGCCTGTTGATGAGAAACGCAACAATTTCATAGGTCATAATGATGCACATCAAATAGTCACCTCTACAGAGGTCAAAATTTTATAAACACAATAGTGTCCGATGAAGCAAGATAAACATTGTTTTGTAGGCAGAAAGACAATAAGCATGGAGCACAGAAATGACAAAGAAACATAAAGGCCCAAAAATGCTCCAAGATCCCAACAGTGGTAGCAGAAGATAGTGCATATTATATTCAAGTTCAAAAGTATAATATGATGCCACTTGTTCATGCTGCAAATTGATGGTTGGATGTTCAATTATCACCATAAGCAACTATTTATCTGACAAAAGGAACAGGTCAGAATGTGGAATTAAAAAACTCACTGCAAAAGTTGGATCCCACATAACTCGGGCATAAATTGTGACCATTATTCAGTTAGGTTACGATGGTATGATCCATGGAGAACCTATCTCAATAACCATATTTTTCAACTGTCAGAAATGTCAGATATCACAGGCCATGGGTCATAGGTCAATCAGTCTAGTAAAACTGCAAATTCTAAATTCATGTCCTCAGGATATTATTCCTGCTATGGTCACAGTTCAACCAGACTAGTAATATTATATATTCTAGATTTGTATTCCCCCAATTTTCTTCCTGCTATTGGACCTAACACAATGCATGTACATGTATCACTCACCTTTTAGAACCTAAGTTGCCCACCTTCTCCTAACATCCACACCCATTGCATCCTTATCTAGTCCCACTATCAATTTCAGAACATGGCTCACACATGCACTTCCTCTAAGTATACACGTTATGACTTAATTCTCCAAAGCATGTGCAGAATATAAAAAAAATAAAATTGGTGAAACGTTAAATTTTTAGAAATCTTTTCTTGTTTAACTATCTTTGAAAAACAAAAATGATGCAAGTAATTCACTCGATCCATGAAAACTAGAAGGGAACTATTTTTAAATAGTTCATCCCATTAGCTAGCAACATCTCAGTCCAAAATAGTTTCACCTCAAATCTGTTTCATCTTTTCTATCTTCTTCTTTCTTATTCTTACTCAAAAAAGAAGAAGCATCTCCCATTTCCCATTCCCCATTCCCCATTCCCCAGACGAAAAGGGAAAAACGAAGCAATCATACACGCAAGAAGAAATAAGAGATATAATTCCACATTAGACAAAATAATCGAAGATTTAAACATTTGAATCACAAATAAAGCCCATCAACCATGCTACAGCACCGAAGTCACGGAGTGCACATCAGAGGCTCAACAAACGAACCAGATACGAAATCAAGATTCATGAGCGACTCAAACTCTTCACGGCGACAAGGTAAACCCCACACCCCCAATCGAATCCAGGACAAACAAAGCCAGCTGAGGCTAGATCGAAGGCGGGAAACGGGACGGCAACAAGTGTCTCACCGTTAAAAGCGATCGAAGGGCTGCAGATTGCTTGCGATGCGGAGAGTTTGGCTGCCGGCGAGTGTACCAAAGTAGCGGCGGATGAGATTTTATGGGAGGAGAGCGAGGTTTCCGATCCGCTTCGTTCGTGAAGGTTCGGGGAGATCTCGGCCGTTGGATTCAGCGATGCGAGTTCTGTTCCGATGGAACTATCTAGAAGTCGAAAGCAGCTGTCAGTCCGTGTACTACTTCGTCATAATTACTAATTAACTAGTTTTCTGTTACACGTATTCTTTCATAGTAATATAGTAATTTCAAATTATATATATATAATAATTTCAGAATTCTCTTCTACTAGCACAATAATCTTTGTCTTTTTTAATTAACTAAAATTTATTTAATAAAGGATAAATTTTTAAAAAAAATCTCTAAATTTAGAAAAAAATCTGTAAAATTTAAATTTTTACATGTAGCGTCTCAACTTTGAAAAATCTTTATAAAGCACTCCTGAAAAGATCATTATGCCTCTAAAAATTTTTAAAAATTATTTTTTATTAGATTTGTCATTGCCTTCATTGAACCTATTACCATCTCTACTAATTCTGCCATTGTACATTTTCCTCATGCCCCCTCCAGTGAGAAAGAAAGGAGTACAAGTGTCACCATTATCACTCATAACCTCACGTAAGGGTTTACTCGGATACTCATCCCCCAACTCGCGATTGGCCCTCGCACAAAAGTCTATTATTACTGCTCACAACTCTTAAACTCAACCACCCCTCTTTCCGTTCTTACAATTGGGCCTCACACCATGACTCACTATCGTTACCTATAACCTTAAATCTAAGCATACTTGTATTATTTGCACAAAGATCATCCCCTTCTACACTACGCCTGTTTGTCCCAGATTTACTCTTATTAGACACAAAAATGGTATATGACACTGTAAGGATGGTGTAAAGCGACACAAAAGTGTAAGAGTGATAAAGACGATGATGAGTAGCAAGGGTAAGGCAAAATGGTTATTTGTAAAAAGTCACTCTACAAGAATTTTTAAAAATTATGATAGTTTGTAAAAAATTCTCAAATTTAATTTTTTTTTTCCTAAAAATTACCCTTTAATAAAATATTTTCTAAAAAAGAAAAACTCTTTTTCGATCTTTGTATGATTCTTTTCAACTTTGAAAAGGTAAAAGTTTCTTCTGCATTTTGAATTTGCAGTGGGAGCAAATTCTCAGGAATAAAATTACTTTTTTAGGTTTTTTCTCGAGAAACACCTACCAGGGCTTTCAAACAGCATCTTCGTTTTCTTATAGCTAAAATACCTTTAATTACTTTTTTTTCTTTTTTTTTTCGATTGACCAGTTCATAGAGTGAACTATTCAATTGCAATATTTTTACATTGCATTATAGTATTTTAATAATATCAGAAAATCAATATAACGTAGTATAAAGACATTGTGTTATTGTGTATTTATACTAAGTTAAACTATTTTTCTAGAATTATTAAAATTACAAATATTATTAATTATAATATATATTTTTTATATTATTGAAAATATTATAACGTAGTATAAAAATACTATAAACACATACAAAAATATTTATACTACGTTATAAAGTCTTTTTGATATTATTAAAAACATAACAACATAATGTTATAATAAGAAATAAAAAAAACAAAGCTTTTTTCTAGGATTTCGCCCCATGAAGTTTTTTTTTTATTGATTAAAAAATAGTTAATTTAATTAACCATTATAAACTTAGCATGGAAGTCTAGTATATTGATCTTGAGCATGATTTTGACCTGTCGGACTACGGAGCTAAATTCGAATTGAATCAATTTAATCCAATAACCCGAATCCGATTTGATTCGACCCGTTTATTGCCGTCGGGTTCGGATCCATGAAATGGGCTTTTAGCACACCCCGATCTCAACATCATCGCGTCCTTCTGCGCGTGCGATGCAACTCGTCTTCCGAAGGCTGCCTCTTCGACTCCATTCCATCTGCGGAACCTTCGCTCGATCCTTCGTTACCACCTCCGCCGCTCTCCCCGTCTTCTCCGAATTCGATGTGCTGGCGCAGGAGGAAGCCGCGGGCCACGGCGAGGAGCAGCCTCGTGGATCCCTCTCGTCTAGGGTGGAGAGGCTGCCGAAGGGCGAATCCGTCGCCCTCGCCTTCCAGAACTGGATGGGGGAGGGATCCGCCGTCGACAGGGGCGAAATTTTTCACGCCGTCAATCGCCTCCGAAAGCGCAAGATGAACCGGAGGGCGCTGGAGGTGAGTTGGTTCGTTCCCTCCACCACTTATTTGGTCCAAGAACAACCATCATTAAAATGGGATCTTTTGATGATTCGTACGCTTTCGATGCTATATGACATTGATTGGTTGAGAGAACCAATAAAACTAAGTTTTTTCTGTGTCTGTGTGAATTTTATGGCACTACCTCTCTCGAGGTTGTTTCTTGTAAGATTTATGCTACTGATGCTGTGACAGTTTGAAGATTGCCGAGGATTTTCGTGTGACATGTATTTTCCTGGGGATAGGAACGCTACTGGAAAATGTTGGGTTTTCCCTTCGTGTTACTTCTTCTCGTATGGAGAAAACACCATCAAGTCTTACCATCAAGTTGGTAAGACTTGATGGTGTTGATAATTTGTTGTGTATATGTTGTCGAGATTTGATACCATTGATGGACTAATTGATTGAAGGAATGAAGCAAAGGAGTCGCTCGTACCTTTGCTTTTAGGGTTTACTGTCTGTAAAACGTTTTAGTTGAATGGTGTTATTTTATTCATCTTTTATCCTTCAGATTGCCTACGAATCCAAGATTAGATTTTGTCAGGAATGACACTACAATTAGGCAATGACACTACGATTAGATTTTGTACAGCCTTCCCCCTCAGCTTCTATCAAACTTCAGTGGATCGATTAGTAGCCTTCATTGCGTGACTGTGAACTTGCATTACAAATTTAGATTTAAGGTTTACCTGTAACTAGTTACTTTTCATCTAGTATCAGTACTTATTTTGGAATATTAGAAGTCCCTCTGTGTAGTTCTTTGTGGTGTATTGGTAAGTTTATGGTGACAAGAAGCAAATAGGGTAAAGGTTGAAAAGTAATGTGTACCATGCCTTGATAACATGCCTGAACTGTGTAGGAACTGTACAAGGAAATCTTATAGGAACACCATAAACATTGTGCTATATCTCTTAGTAAATGGAGGAAATGTGTGTGATATAATTTTTCAAGGAATTGCCTCTTAAAGTGTATTCTCTCCTAAATTTTGTAGAGCATTCCATTAATAATCTTTTGTCTAATGCAAGTGGATGGTGAATTGTATCAAAACTAAATCATTTTTTGCCCTCCAGGTTATGGAGTGGGTCGTTAGAGAGAGACCATACAAGCTGAGTGAATTGGATTACTCATATCTTTTGGAGTTCACAACCAAAATTCATGGCATTTCACAGGCTGAAAGTCTCTTCCTCCGTATTCCTCATAACTATCAAAATGTGCTGCTTTACAACAATCTCGTCATGGCCTGCTTAGATAAGGGTCTGATCAGGCTTTCGTTAGCATACATGAGAAAGATGAGGGAACTGGACTTTCCTATCTCCCCATATGTTTACAATCGGTTGATTCTTCTACATTCCTCCTCTAGTCGCAAGAAAACCATACCTAAAATTCTGATCCAAATGAAGGCTGATGGTGTATCCCCACATGTATCAACATATAACATTTTATTGAAGATAGAAGCTGATGAACATAATCTTGAAGGCCTGTCAAAGGTATTCAATGATATGAAACGAGCAAAAGTTGAGCCAAATGAAATCACTTATGGCATTCTAGCAATGGCACATGCAGTTGCAAGACTATATACAATATCTGAGACATATGTTGAAGCCATAGAGAGGTCAAGAACTGATAATAACTGGTCTACACTAGATATTTTACTTATCCTGTATGGTTATCTGGGGAAAGAGGAGGAACTACAGATAACCTGGAAGTGTGTCAAGGAACTTCCTTATGTTAGAACTAAAAGTTTTATTCTTGCAATTGAAGCGTTTGGAAGAGGTAGTTCAGTTGACATAGCTGAAGAGATATTTGCAGAAATGAAATCAATCAAACAGTTGAAGACAACAAAGCAGTTTAATTCAATCATTTCAGTTTACTGCAGGAATGGGCTTGTGGATAAGGCATCTGAGGTGTTCAAAGAAATGGAAGCAAATGGTTGCAGGCCAAATGCTATAACATATCGCCACCTTGCTTTGGGTTGCTTGAAAGCTGGTTTATGGGATGAAGCATTGAAGACAATGAATTTGGGGAAGAATGAGGATCTGAGCTTTCGAGTAAGAAGATCTACGCCATGGTTGGAAACTACACATATGTTATTGGAGGTTTTTGCTGATATGGGTGATCTAGAGAAGGCAAAAAGTTTATTTAAAGAATTTAAGGAAACAAAATACTGTAGATATACTTTTGTTCATAATACACTTCTAAGAGCTTATGTGAAGGCAAGGGTTTATGATTCAGAAATTTTGAGGAAAATGATCTTGGCAGGAGCAAGCCCTGATGCGGAGACATATAGTCTTGTTAGATTCATAGAGCAGTTCAAAAGTTAGTCATATCAGCATAGATCAATATTTCCATGTACTGGCAAAGTCTTGACAGACAACGGACTAACGTTACAACTAAAATCATCCACAAAGGAAGCATAGTCCAAATCAGGAAATTACTCTGCTTTTCTCCACTGGTCCTGATGAAACTATTTCCTTGTGTACAAGGGAGAGCTGACTGACAGTTTTAACACTCTTGATACGAGAAGTTGTGCTGAATTCAAATACTCAGAAGATCACTATACAAGATTGCATTATGGTTGTTATTACAAACTCTAACATGCTACATATGTTTGAGGATGAACTTTTTAATCTGTATCAATTAAGGTGCAAGATGACTCTCATCTTGGAGATCTCTTGCATTCTCTGATCTTCATGCTGGTACACTGACATTCTGTCTACTTGAGTTTGAATATTTACATGACTTTTACCAGACCTGTCCAATGATCCTTTTCTGCATGACTTTAACATGTGGATCAATTCTATTACTCCAGTTGGTTATCTACGGAGTTAATGGAGTATCAAGCTACTTTTGCATCAACAAAGGAGTACTTAGCCACTTCTAGTAACTGGTCTATTTGAAACAATCAACCATGAAGGTAATGGCTCAAATTACTGTTCATTCTTATATCTTTCAAATTCACTTGCTTACTTGAAGGATCTAGCTATAAACTACTGTTTATTTAAGTGCTTTATTATACAGTATTATGTTTTCCTAAAAGAGAGGCTCTAGCTATAAACTTATAGAATACTGCAATAAATTTGTACAAAACTGCTACAAAAATGACACATCTACCATTAATCTAACTACTTTGGCAGATTAAACCAATTTGAGTAGATCATACACCAAGCGCCATCCAACTCAAGGGAGGTTTGTTGAGTTCCAGATGGCACTTTCAATCTGTTCCAGCATTGAAAGTGGCGTGGGCTGGTGCGAGGATCATTCTTACTTTGATCACCAGCTTTTGGCAGATATTCTGGTGGCATTGTCCAGTTCATCCTCTGCTGCAGCAGTCACCATACCGCACTTTGGAATTGCCTTTTGTTGCAGAATTCTAACTTAACCAGGATAAAAAGCTTCAGATTTTTGCTTGGTGCTTATATGAAGTGCTATGTTTTCTTGATCATGATGAAAAGCGTCAGATTCTTTCTTGTCACTTACATGAAGTGCTATGGTACCACCTCCTAGTTGTAAGATAAAAGTGACACAACTTGGAACATCATTCATTAGCAACAATGTACTAGTATCTGGTGGGCAAGGATTCATTTGAATCTTCATTATAGTTACTCTTTGTTGGTTGACTGTTCTTTGACTACTGGTAAAAACTTCTATCGACATAAATGCTCTCTGAAAAATTCATTATATTGATTAAAATACTACTAGTATTTTATGCAAAATATACTTTCATATATCTAATGATGATGAAAGGAAGAAACGACTGAAAACTGTGGTGACTTGGTAGTGTGTGTGTGTGTGTGACTCAATGATAAATTCTTGTTAACTATTATTAATTATGATTAATAAAAATTAAAGCACCTAAAATATCCAAACTTGAATCTAAATGCACAAATATAAAAATTAATAATTTAAAGGGATATAATATTTTATGAAGGGTATTAATGTCATTTAGTTTCAATAACATTATTTAAGGAACAGAGGTTAACTACAACATTATTTATACAAATTTCTGAGTTTTGTATGGATTAAATTTGCCAATTATAATTTTATATTATTGACAAGTTCTAAAATCCTATTACAATTATAAAAGATTAATAAACTTTTTATATTTCATATTTATATTTTAAAAATATCTAATTAGTTCATATTACTTGTAATTAGAAGCGTGTTTAACTTTACAGGAACGGACATTCCATGCTGACTCCCCCTATAAACGTTATAAAGTATATACCGGTTTCGATATATATGTATATATATATCTTTTTTACTTACTAGACGACGTCTTCTCTTTGATTCCGATCTCAGTTTTGGTGACCGTCGGCGTGCGATGGCGTCACGCCTACTGAGCCGATCGAAAACCCTAACCCTCTCACGCCTCCTCCTCCTGCACCCTTCCGCACCGGGCAATCCCGTCACCTCCGCCCATGGCCTCCGAGCCTTCGGTTCCCTCGCCCCACACCCGCCCCCTGATCCCAGATCCGCTGCGATCGCGCCAGCCTACAGGCCCGATCGCCCCTCCGCCGCTGCTCTCGGTCTCTTCCGTGCCCCTGTCTTCGGCCAACTTGGCTTTGGAAAGGTGGACGCTTCTTCTTGTCATCCACGTTGTATTTTGTTTTGGTGGTCTTGGTCCGCGAGTTCTTCGTCGTAGTGATCGTAGGGTTTTGAGTCCTGGATGTTATTGCTGCAACTTTTCTTTTTGGTGTATATAGTTTTCCCGATTCATGTGAAAAAAACATGCGATCGGTTCTTTTACTTGTGGTAGTGAGAGTTTAATGGAAACAAGAAGGGGATAGAAGTGGCGGAGATAGACACAAGAGTGGAATAGGCATTTTTACAGAAAGGGTGTTAATGAATATGTTGTAAAGGTGAAGGAAAAAACAGGGTTGGTGATAGAGTATATTCCTCGACTTTGAGGTTGAGGCAAAGGTATTGAATTTTAATAGGCGTTTATGCCCTTCAAATTGGATTAGAACGAATTATTAAAGAATACCAGCGACTAAAAATCAGGAAAAAAAATGTGGAGTATTTAAAGGAGTGCATAGGGGCAATGGTGTACGAAGAAGAATGAAGTGGAAGAGATGATTTTGGTTACGCTATATGTTATGCTTTTATGATGGTAAATACTCATTTTAAGAAAAGAGATAAGAATTAGTACTTACAATAATGAGCATGAATATTGTCAGATAAATTTTTTCTTTATTATGAGTATAGACAGAGTTATATATGTAAAGATTGTTGTGGAGAAAACTTGACTAATTAGCATAAACTATTAGTGTTTGTTGGTGTTTAGATTTATCTTTTAAAACTGGAAGAGAAAAAAAGTAAACTGTTACTAGAGCTAGACTACCAAATTTAAAAGGTGATAATGTTGTTCTTTACAGAAATAGGATAGAATATAAAGGGGGTTGGAACTTTGAAGAGGATGCTATTAGCATCATATGAATTTCATGAACTAGTGATCTAAAGGACATGTCCAAAGAGAATGTTCGGGAGTCTAAGGGTAAGGAATATTGGATGAACAGAGAACTGGTGGTTGTGCAATGGAGTCCAAAAAACCGTTGATATGAAGAGTGTGTGTTAGGGAAAACTTTAAAAGCCAGGACAAATTTAGAAAATATATTACAGCTAAGGAGGATAAAAAAAGAATTTAATTGTTATGTTCCCCTAAGCATATTTCCTGAGTGTATCATTTTAATAAATCTCATCCTCTTCTTTTCTTTGCCTTCTTTTCCGTAAACTTTCTGTGCATGTTTGCTTGTTCTTAATTGTTTTTAGTCAATGACAGCCTATAAAACTGCTTGTTAAGATTTCCTAAGAAGCTGTAAGTAACATCTAGCTGTGATTAATAAACTCTGATGGCGACACTCTGCAACGTACTCATCTCTTCTTGTTCACTTTGTCTTCTGTTATTACCATCTTTAATGTATGTTTTCATCATTGCATATTGATATTTTAACCCCAAGTTCATGTGAAAATATGGTTAACCATGTGGGTGATGTCAAATATAAGCTTTTTTTTTACTTTTCAGGATTTTAGTTATAGTTTAGATCATGGTTTGTCTTATTAGTTCGTACCGATGTACCAACCAGTCATTGGTATGGTATATACTGATGTGTCGATACACGATACGCTGAGACATACCGACATACTAGTATATACCGCCCATATCAGTCCTCTATCGGACTGATACGTACTGCTCTTACTGAGCTGTATGCCGTGGTACAGTAAACCCTAGTTTAGATATGGGGCTCTAGCACATAATGCCGGTAGTTGAGACACACATGCAATAAAAAGAACTGTTGAATATGAGAGCAAGGTTAGAAGTTTAAACAACTATATCCGGAACTTACTTGCTGTAAATATCATTGCCTAGCTTGTTTTAATTTGTATTTCAAGCCATGTTCATAATTTATGGTTTGCTTTCTTACTCTTTTAGCATTTGTTGGCTGCACTGGGTGAAGGGAAGTCTTAATTTCATTGATTTCCCTAGAAGTTCTTGCTGTCACAAGGGTAATGATCATTTTTATTCTTTATAGAGATATCCATGTTGATTATCTTTTAGTTGGATGCCACAGTCTTTGATAGTTCAGATTTTTTCACAACCACTGTCTCCTGAATCTTCAGTTTCTTATTGAGTGATTGAGTCAATGTTGTCTTTAATCTACTTTGACTTTGTTATTTTCTATATGACACCTTAAAACAGTGATGTTGTTTGCAAATCATGTGGGTGATTTTGTGGTCAATTTTTACTCACCCCAAAACCAGCTGCTGATATTCCTTCATCTTCTTTTTCTCCCCTTTTTTGTTAGTTCTTTGTATGCTCTGCTTAAAAATATGTGCAACTATTGAGTTTTGTTTGTTCGTCCTCCCTCATTACCAGTGATTTAAATAGGCGCTCGTGCGAGTCGAGACAAGGCCCGAGTGCCTCGTGTGTGGACTAGGTGGCGCGCTTCAATGAGGCGTCGCCTAGGCGCTCGCCCGAACCTAGGCACCGGGCGCTCCGGATGAGCACTCGGTTCAAATAAGGCAACTGAACCAGACTTTTAAGTCTAGTTCGGTTCAATAGTAATTAGTTGGTTCGATTGAACCAACTAACACGGTTACTTACCCTCAAAACCAACACTTCACGCTCGCACAACCCCAAGCCAACCTTAGCATTGGTTCTGCCTCCGCCGTTGATGCTTTCTGCCACTACCTCCACCGTAGGAACAGCGGACCGAGCCTTTCTCTATCATTGACGGACGGGTCCAATGGCCTCGCAAGAGCCTGTAGCTTCCTTCTGTCGTCGCTCTGTGTGTAGTTCCACAACTTGTTGAGGGAGAGAACCGTAGGTTCCTCCGCCACCGACAGACTCCCTCTGGTTCTTCTGTCGTTGTCGCTACTGCTATCCGCAGCTTTCGCCGCTATCGCTGTTGCCGTCCGCAGCTTCTGCCACTGTTGTCGTTCGCAGTGTTGTTGTATCTGTCTTAAACTAATCCTCCGCTGTTGCTGCTAGCTTCTCATCGCTACCTCTCCTTCCTACTTTCCACACTGTCGGTGACAATTTTATCCCCTTACTGTTAATAAATAGTTCTTTTCTCCCTCTCTAATCATTGGTAACTATAAATAATATACTATTAAAAGTAGATTGTTAACTACTATATAAAGTAATCTTTATATTTACTAAATTGATAATATAGATTTTAACACTGCTTATCTTTGTTTATTTAAAACTTTATTGTTTTGAATTTTTTGATATTTTTGTTATTAGAAGCAAGGATTTTAATTTCGAATGATACTGCTTGTATCGGGCAGTATCGTTGATCTAGCCCCGTATCAGACGATACAGGGTTGTATCAGGCGGTAACAGTTGGTATTTCGATCATCGTCGCTCGGTAGCGGGCGATATCAGCTTACTTGCAGCCTGGGAAGAAGAAGCGTTCAGGTAAAAGAGGAAGAAGGCGCTCGAAGAAGAGGGAGAATCGGGAGAACCTCGACGCTTCCCGATTCGGCGCCGCCCTCCCTCGACGATCCCGATCTACAAGGTAATGGAGAGGCGACGACTCGGCTTCTTCTTTATCGCGTTCTTCGCCGAAGGCCAGAGACGCCTGCGCCCTTTGCCGTGTTCTTCGGAGACATCTGCAGCCTTCGACGTCTTCACCGAACGTCGTAGATAAGGAGATGACCGCGCATCTTCTCCTCATCTAATGCGACGAGGAGAAGAAAAGGAGGCGACGTCATAGAGACAGCGTATGCCTCCTTTTTCTTATTTTTTATATTTTTATATTATATATTATATATATCGAGCAATATACCATGGTGTACCGCTCGGTATGCCCGTACCATACCGTATCGAGCAAAGCTCGAAACGTCGGTACGGTACGAAATTAAGAACCTTAATTAGAAGATGAGTAATGTGATTTGGTACTTTAGATCTTCTTAGTTTAATATCATATTTTTATTTAAATACTCATATTTATCAATTATATTATATATATTTTTTTATATTTTAATATTTCATAGCATCTCGCTTCGCTTGAGTGAGCACCTAGCGTCTCGGGTTTTTTGGGACCTTGGCGCCTAGCGCTTTTTAAATCATTGCTCCTTACTATGTTATGTTGTATACACTATCAGTAGCCTACATTTTATATTAATTCTCCCATGTTTTATTCCATTTCTTTCTTTGTTTTCATTTTTTAGCTGCAGGCAAGACATTCCATAAATATTTTTTTCTTCATTTTCTCTTCTTTTGGTTTTTACATATTTGAGGAAAAGATGGATCTTGTCATCCTGGAAAAGAGCTCTGTTATCTTAAAATTTTCTTCTCTCCATTAACTCTTTTCTCCAACAGTACCAGCAATTTGTTCACCACCCTGAAGTTGTAATGTCAAACTTTGTTCAATTGGTTTATACTGGACTGAATTTGGAGATGGTAATTATTATTTTTTCTAATCTCTCTTAGAATTGGTTCTTATGCAAGCTTCTGGTTATGGTAAGATTTTACCTAATTGTATGTTTAGTTCATTACAATGAAATGCACAATTTTTAGCTTGCTCATTTAATGGGAATGCATAATCAGGAGAAATGAAAACTCAAGCAAACAATATATGTTTGTTTGCCGCATAATGTTTGTCGCTCTGCTGCCCCTTTGTGGTTATTATGGTTTATGCGAACATTGTTTCTCTATATGTTGTGTTCTTTAAACTTTTCTTTGATATTCTTTTAATGAGAAGTTATTGCAGAACATGTCTCATATGGCTGGTGGAGTTGAAGATCCTAATTGCCTGAAAGGAAAGGAGATTGACTCTTCAAAGGTAATGGCTTTCAGCCCACTGGAGGGGACCCTTACCAGGGAACGGAAAAGTGGATTGACGAATGAAAGCTTAAAGGTAAAGAGGATGGAGCTTTCTATAAAGACTACATATGCACTTATTCCAGCATTGCTACTCATATCAAAATCGACATTGACGACTTCAGCACTTGTTCTGTGCGTATACTGGCAAATCTATGGGTTTTTCAAGGAGATCCTTCTGGACTATGTTCATCATGACGTGACGAGGAAATGGGTCTTGATATATTTCAAGCTGCTACTATTTATCTTGGCCAAGGACACTATACTTGCTTTCGATCTAGTGTAATAATGCCTTGTGTCTCAGCAGCACTCTGTAGACCTATAGATAGGGAAGTTGGCCAATGGCCAACCTACAGTTGCTGTTTTATTCAGACTTTTCCCTTTCCTTTAATGCTAAAATGGCATCCCCGGGATGGACGGCATGCTGGTTTTGAAGTTTGTATCAGAATAATGAATAGTGGCCATTGTAATCAGACCCAGTTGGATCTATTTTTATCACTTGTTTTCAATCGTAATCGATGTCATAAGGTGAATTTTTGAGACTAGTTTGGTGGTGATTGTTTGTTATGAAGTTGTCTTTCTGCTACAAATGCAAGCATGGAGGAGAAATGCAAATACAAAAACTGCTGATGTGGTGTGGTTCAGATATCATGGTTTTACTGTGAAATTTATTGGAATTGGTCAAACCATGTCACCTAAACCTTTTTTTACTGATCTTTAATGCCATGCAGCTGCCTATGTACTTTGTGCTGTTGATTCAATTACCTAAAATTTCCATCTTATCTTGTTTTGATTATTTTTGTTTTTAATTGTTCATTAGTGCTGCTCATTGTGAAAAGATCACCTTTTTTAAGAAACAGCACAACTGTTTTTTAAAGAAACAGTACAACTGTAACGGGCTAAGAACTTAATAGTGATTTATTAGGTTAATTATAGATTAATTTTTGTAATTAGTTATTTTTAGTATTTTAATTTTTATATTTTTAAAAATTACATTAAGATTTTTATTGAAAATAAAATATTTAATCTTATTTTTTCTAACATCATCAATTTTATTGATAAAAATATCTCATATACTTAATAATAAATCGAAATGAGACAGAATCATCGGTGATAAATTTTATGATATTTTATATAGAGATCTTAATTTTTGGAAGTATAGAAATGAGTTAAAGATAGCTAATATGTGATTATTCTTGATATTTTACATCAAGCTCACGTTTCACTATATATATATATAATCTAATTTAAAACGTCCTTCAAATGTAATGTAAATAGGATTTTAAATAGAGGGTTTCAAATGACTACCGTTAAGGTTGAAACTAAAAAGTAAAGCAAGTATAAAATAAGCTACACAAAGATTAAAAATATAAAGTAATAAGCCATTTCAAATCCAATCATATGTATCAAAATACTACTTCAAAAATAATAGTTTTGTTAGCTTAAAAATTGATTATTTTTGTAAATCCCATCCGTGGTGGAAGAAATTATATTAGTGTCATAAAATAAACGTGACGTCAACTAATATAGTGAAGCTTACAAAATATTAGTGCAAGTGAGGTGGTAGAACACTTCAACTCCACGCGATTTTTACTGCTCTCTCTCTCTCTCTCTTCGTCGGCGAGACCGCGAATCGATCGCCGTGTGGTCGCCGGAGGGAGCCGAAGATCGAGTTGGATGGAGCTTTAACTCCGCCCAAGGCATCCCCTGCAGATGGTGAGTTGGATTTGGGCGCCGATTTCTCATCGATTCGTGCTTTTGCTGTGTTTTCTTTTCTTGTTTGAATCTGTTTTATCTGATCGTGTGTGATTCAGCCATTGTTTGATTGGGATTGTTAGATGGTGACTTGGACTTCGGCGCTTATGTCTCGTCAATTCGTGCTTTTGCAGTGTTCTGTTGTCTTCTTTGGATTCGTTTTATCTGATTGGGTGTGATCTGCCCGTAGTTTGCTTGGCATTGTTCGATGGTGTGTTAGATTTGGACACTTATTTCTCATCGACTCGTGCTTTTGCTGTGTTCTCTTTTCTTGTTTGAATTTGTTTTATCTGATTGTGCGTGATCCGGTCGGAGTTCGTTTGGGATTGTTAGATTCGGCACGCTTGTGGTTCTTTGAGTTGATTTCAGTGTGCAAAATGGGGTTTTTTTTCCTTCTGTATTCTCTCTTTGGATTGTGACAGGTAACGGAAGTTGATTTTGATCGGAAAATCGTTACTTTAAGCTTCTCTGCAGATGTTAGTTTAAACTTTACACTGTATTATGCATTGAGAGGAGATCTTAGCAACTAACGAGTGAATTGAAACTCGAATCTGTATTCCCGTTTGTGTAGGATCTGATGAACCTCAATGTTGCCCCTTTTTTTGGGCTAATTACATATTTATTCTTTATAGTTAGACTTCTTTAGCATCTCGGCTCCAAGACTTAAAAAATTTACTTTAAAATCACTATAGTTATAAAGGTGAAACATTTAACCCCATTTACTTTAATATCATCGGTAAAGCCGACGGAAAATACAACATATGACAACATATACAAAATAACACGAAAATGATAGGTAAAAAGATAATTTCAACGTCTCAAGTGAGGCATCTGTGTCGGTGTCACTCTACAACTTCGTTGGGGGGAGGTGAGGTAAAGGCCTTACGTCCTGTTGATGTAGATGCAAAGCGGTGCGGCATCGATGCAGATGCAGAATGACGACAAAGGATGAAGAGCGACGACGAGAGGTGAGGTAAAGGGAGATGAGAAAATAGATGAGGAAGATGGCCGCACCAACATAGATGTAGAGCGTCAGCATCTGTGACTTTTATTCTGCATCGCCCTGCATCTGCGCCGGTGCCAATGTAGATGCCAAGTGGCACTGACATAGATGCAGAGCGTCGGCATTTGCGGCTTCTACTCTGCGTCGCCCTGCATCTGCGTCGGCGCCGACACAGATGCAGATCGACGAAAGAGGGAAGAAGGATGAGCATCGGTCTGCATTTACATCATTGTCGATGTGGCTATCATCTTCATCCTCTTTCTCTCCCTTTGCCTCACCTCTTACCTCTGCTCTCCCTCCTCCCCCGCAAGAAGCCACAGAAGTCCCTCAACTCCACCTCTAGGACTCCACCTGGCCCATCTCTAAGGACATCCCCTCATTGTCCTCGCCAACCACAACCACAACAACCACCTAAGGCCCCTAACAGTGCCGCCATCCGACATTACCACAACAGTTGACTAAGAAGAAAGGAAACATAACTGAGACATTGAAGTTACCTTTTTGCCCACCATTTTTGTATCATTCCTGCATATGCTGTCACGTATTGTATCTTCCGTCGGTAGAACCAACGGTATTAGAGTAAATAGAGTTAAATATTTCACTTTCATAACTATAATGATTCAATATAATTTTTTTAATTTGAAGGACCGTGATACTAAAGAGGTATAACTACAGGGGGTGATTTGTAATTAGCCCTCTTTTTCCATATGGACATCGATGAAGCTTTTTTTTTTAATAAAAAATAGTATTTTATCATTTTCTTTATTTTATATCTTAATATTAGGATGATGGTAGAAAAACCGATAGTAGATTAACAATTATGATTCCTACCTTTCCCTTCGTGTTGGAACTCTCAATTGCATGTGTTAGATAAATCTAAAATTTTGCTTTGCATTTAAGGTAGAGTTTGTATTGGAAACCTCAATTGTCTAATTTTCCTTGCCCATCTTGTAATTCTGTGTCAATTTATGGTGTATACTTCTCAATAAACATATAAAACCAGCTCTATTTCTTATGCATGCAGAAATTGAGGAGCACTGCAAGCACTAGAGCTAGTTCTCTTCATATGGGGGAATTTCGTGATACCGAATACAATTTTGTCAATGAGGACTCGCCGAAACTAGGCAACACCAGGAAGGTCTCTGTCATTCCCCTTGTCTTCCTTATTTTCTATGAGGTCTCTGGTGGCCCCTTTGGGATAGAGGACAGTGTTCAAGCCGCTGGACCGCTTCTGGCTATACTTGGATTTCTGATCTTCCCCTTCATATGGAGTATTCCTGAAGCACTTGTCACTGCTGAGATGGGCACCATGTTCCCAGAAAATGGAGGTTATGTTGTGTGGGTCTCTTCAGCTTTGGGCCATTTTTGGGGTTTTCAGCAGGGTTGGATGAAATGGCTTAGTGGTGTCATTGACAATGCTCTATATCCAGTTCTCTTTTTAGACTATTTGAAGTCCGGTATTCCAGATTTTGGTGGTGGGCTGCCTAGGACTGTTGCGGTGTTAATACTAACAGTTGCACTAACTTACATGAACTACAGAGGACTGAACATTGTTGGATGGATGGCTGTGTTTCTGGGGGTGTTCTCCATACTTCCTTTTATCTTAATGGGGTTGGTAGCAATACCAAAACTTCAGCCTTCGAGATGGTTACAGGTTGACATACACAATGTCAATTGGAGTTTGTACTTGAATACACTCTTTTGGAATCTCAATTATTGGGATTCAATAAGTACTTTGGCAGGAGAGGTGGATAATCCTAAGAGAACACTTCCAAAGGCTCTGTTTTATGCATTGATCTTGGTTGTTGTCGGATATCTGTATCCTCTCCTAGCTGGGACAGGAGCAATCCCACTTGATCGGGAGTCATGGACAGATGGTTATTTTTCTGACGTGGCCAAAATTGTTGCTGGGGTCTGGTTGAGATGGTGGGTGCAAGGAGCTTCAGCTCTATCCAACATGGGCATGTTTGTTGCCGAAATGAGCAGTGATTCTTACCAGCTTCTTGGAATGGCAGAAAGGGGAATGCTCCCAGAGTTCTTTAGCAAGAGATCCCGTCACGGGACTCCTCTTGTCGGGATACTCTTCTCTGCTTCTGGTGTTCTTCTGCTGTCCTGGATGAGCTTTCAGGAGATCATTGCTGCCGAGAATTTCCTGTACTGTTTTGGGATGATTCTGGAGTATGTGGCCTTCATAAAGTTACGACTGAGCCACCCAAATGCTTCTCGGCCTTATAAGGTTCCTCTGGGGACTGCTGGTTGCATTTTGATGATCGTCCCTCCTACCATCTTGATATGTGTGGTTCTGGCTCTTGCCTCTTTCAAAGTCATGATCGTAAGCATTATAGCGATGCTTATTGGGTCCGTCCTGCAGCCTTGTCTCAAACATGTGGAGAAGAAGAAGTTGTTGAAGTTCACTTTGAACTCTGACCTCCCTGATTTCAGAGAATCTGAGCATGAGAGTGCTGTCGAATCCTTGATAGCTTAGGTCAGTACCATCACTCGAGAGAATGTTACTTTGAACTTTCATGCGCTTTCTTGAACATAAAGGGATGTCTCCAATTCTCATAACTCCAAAGATGTCTTCAGAATCTGAACCTGTTTTTTCGACTCTATAAATCTCATCTTATGGAGAACATCTTAAGAGTTCATTATTGTTAAACTCATTACAATATGGTACTTAGCAATCCACTTCCGCTGCACGTAGATTCAGCATCCTTCGTGTTAATGGTAGCGTTCAAGCAGCATCTTACCGATACCTTGTGTTAGATTCAGTGTTGATACTAAGCAATTTACTGCTTTTGTTGGCTGCAACCGATCCCTTTTGTTAGATTCAGTGTTGATACTTAGCAATTTACTGCTTTTGTTAATGTGTGACTGCACAACAATTTCTTACCCGGAGGATGTGAAGTCATTTGCTGTAATTTGACGATCATATAACACTTGACTGATGTCAGCTTCATTTTCAGATCCCTTAACACTAAGGAAATATGTTCAAGATGTTGCAATTGGAAATTGTGATCTGAGTTCGAGATGATGACTGTATATGACATGGTGATGGTGATTACATAGTAGATTCGACGACCAATCAACGGCATTGGCTTGGTGATTGCTCTCATGTTTCGTGGAAGAGAAGGCAAGTTCTGAAGTCGCTCAAGCTGCTTCCCATGTTCTTGGGATCAAACATCTCATGCTTATTTGATCTAATGTAGAATAAACAGAAAAACATTGAGCCTAAAGTTATCCACTTATTATTTTTATTTATCTCATATTATTAATTTTTTATATTTTTTAAGTATCCAATTAAGTTAGTTAGTTTTCAAGATTTAGAATTAGTATAAATAAATACCTCCTCTAAACTTATGAAATCATAAAAAAATAATATCTTCAAGTATTATAAAGATTTTTTTTCTGTCAGAAGGAATTGACTTCACTCTTCTTCCCTTGTCAACTTACTATAATCCTTTCTAGTAGTAATTTTTTAATTTTAATTTTATTTTACGTCAGTTGGTATAAGAAACTTGCTGTTATTAGTATATTAGGTTTGTTATTAGAAAATTAAGAAGTATGTCCTCGTAGATACAGTGGATTTTGTATATTAAAAATTTAATTTGCTAAGTACAATTCTATAACCCATCAAGATAAGGTCTAGTGGTAATAATGATAACACTGACAATGATGTTATCAATAATAACAGTGACAATTTCGATGGTGACAATATTCGTGATGGAGGCAATAGCAATAACCCTAACAATAATGATTGGGGAGTGCCAATCCTATGGCCGATGTTAAAAGCACAAAAGTGAGAATGGCTCGGGAACTTCGAGAGATTCACGACATGCTCACTAACTTGAGTTTAGGCACTAATAGAATTCGTGATGATGGTAGGATCAAACATGCTAGAGTTGATGCTTATGACCAACCTAATCATCAACATAAGCTTAGAATCTAACGTAGGCAGCTCAATAATGACACTTCAATCGACGTAGTATTATTTGCTCACAATAACCAACAACAGTATATGATAATGATTCAGAAGATGACAATAAAAGGTATGGAAGATATCAAGCACCACCCAAACGAAATAGACTATTTAAGGATTATCGTCTCAAAGTATACCTTCCCAGTTTTAATGGTCATCTCAGTATTGAAGTTTTTCTTAGAGTTATGAAGTAGAGAACTTCGTCGAGGTGATAGATGTTTCTGATCACAAACAAATCAATCTTGTTGTATACAAGTTGAAAAGAGGTGCAATAACTTAGTGGGATACATTACATAATAACATAAGAAGACAAAGAAATTCACTAGTACAGATACGGTGAAAGATGAAGAAAATTCCTACCCCCAACAACTGTTGTTCCAACAATACCAAAATTGCATCCAAGGTACTCGATCTATAACTAAGTATGCCGATGAATTCTTATACCTTTCAACTAGATCTAACTTATTAAACCAACAAACGATAAGGTACATCAATGGACTATAGTTTGTAATTAAAGATAAAATATTTTTAACTCCGATATGGACAAATGAAGTTCATAATATAGCATTAAAGGCTAAAATATTGTTGGCTCGACTTCCAATTGCTACTCTAACAACGCAACCTATTCATAACAAAGATAAGTCGTTACTGAGTCAATACAACTTACAAATCAAGGCACAAATATCGGAGAAGCAACAAGGTAAGTTAGGTATATCCCGACTACCACAAACAATTCATATGCTCGACCCCTTGTTGGGAAGTATTTCAAATGTGGGGAGCTTGGTCATCGTTCCAACGAGTATCATGCTTATAATACTATCAACTTTATAGATCACAATAATGACTTTGAAGAAGAAGTAGATGCCTAAGATGATATGATTGATGATATTGACAATACTAAAATAGTAGAGGAAGAAGGGGAATACATCACATGTATTGTAAAAAGATTATTACTCACCATAAGGCAAGAAAGATCTATCTCAACGTAAGAAAAGCTTCCAGATGCAATGTTAATAACAAAGTTTATGCATTGATCATAGACAATAGAAAATGTGACAACATTGTATCTAAATCACTAGTGAGACATTTAAAATTACGAACGGAAGCTCATCCAACACTATACAAACTATGGTGGATTAAAGAAGGCCCAACTGTCACTATAACTGAGATTTGTAGAGTTCCTCTCTCAATTAGGAAATGCTATAAGGAGGAAGTTATATGTAAGGTAGTTGGCATGAATGCATGTCATGTGCTACTTGGAAGGCCATGACAATATGATGTGAATGCAACTCACCTTGAACGAAATAATGTCTATGTATTCTAGTGGAATAGGAAGAAGATTGTCATTCTACCGACTAACAAAAAGAGAGATGAATCCAACACTTCTAAAGCAGAGAGGAAGTCTTTCTTATTCATTTTCAACTTTACGTAGAAATTCATTGTCAGTTCTAAAAAAACAAGAGTATGCTATGCTTTTATTGTGAACAGAGAAGAGCCACTTGAAGCAAAGATTCCAAAAGAACTAGAATTGATATCGGAAGAATTCAAAGAGATCACCCTTAAAGAGTTACCAGATGAACTTGCTAGTCATATGTGCCATGCAATCTAATCACGTGAGTGATGGCATGTGTGACTTGACACGTAGTCTCTTTTTGCTTATTA